CAGTTAAAATGGCAAAATGCGAATAAATGAATTCCATATAAAAAACCAACAACCGGTACGTTGAATTTGATTGCTTTTTCCATAAACTGCAGTCCTCCTAAATATGAGTCATAAGAGCTATCAGGTAGAATATACTGTCACAATGTTTTTTCACGATTTACAAGTATTGAGTAGTTTCTGATTATGTAGACACTCCATTACATACTTTATCACCATGATAAAAACGTTTTGACTTATTTTAATAGGGAAGAGATTGGAGGAAGCGTTTCAGCAAGTCAGCTACCCTCGGCATAATACCGAAAAAAAATGCTTAAATGACATCCAAAGAGAAGTCAAGACAAACAATCGCCTACCACAGAAGTTGAAGAGCAAAATGAGATTAATAAGGACGAAGCTTCAGACACTAAAAAACGAGCCGGAGTGCCGTGTTTTCGTAAAAATTCTACCTTTGCAGAGCCGAAAATATTTTGGTGGGATTTAGAGTGCTGTCGATTCGAGCGGGGAACAAATAAACACGGAATAATCAACAAATATAAATCTAGAGCAATAACGACACACACAGACATCCTAACTCTTGGGACGCAAATGTTATTTTGTGTCCAATACTCAACATCATTGTGGCTTCCTAATGTAAGCCAGTTAAATCATATGCCTTTGATTCAAAATATGTCCGTTTTTCTACAACTTTTAGTTTTTACGTGCCTATTATCTTGCGAAAAAGCAACAGGAATAAGTGTTAGCAGTAAAGCCTGTCATACAGTAACGAACAATTGGCTCCTACTGACTCTGAAAAGCACCAGAATCTCCAGACATCAGTTTATACGGATTGGAAACTTTCTGGTTGGCCATTGACAAGGTACGAACTAACTACTAACCCCCTTTTGAAAACTAGAATTTACTGAAGCACCTCATGACTCAGTACTAGGTTTATTGCTGTTTATTCTTTAAGACAAGTAACTTCCACACATTGGTGTAGTCTTGATCCCTGAGCTGGAAGATTTAATCGTGGACAAATATGTGACTAAGTACCAGTTTCAGTTTGGGAAGGACAGGAGGCTTGATGGCCTGTGTTAGTCCTGGCAATGGTGGTCTCTCAGTTGATCCAACTTTCTTTTGAAAGAGTCGACGGATGGAGCCTCAACCACGTGCTGAGGTAGTGAATTCCACTCGTTGATGATTCGATGGGAAAGTCGATAGTCAGCTGACAAGTAATTTGTTCTCGGCTTATGAACTTTCTTGGAGTGTCCTCATAAATCCTCTGTTTTGGAAGACAAGAAAAATGAGGGCATATTAGGTGCAAATTTATCACTAAGCAATTTGTAGACTGTAATCAAGTCGCCTCTAGTTCTGCGATATGACAACGGGAAAAGGTTCAGCTTGGCTAATCGAACTTCATACGGAAGCTTCGCTATTCCGGGAATCAGCTTAGTCGCCGTTCTCTGAACCTTTTCCAGAAGCTCACTGTCTTTTTTAAGCAGGGGCTAGCCGCTTGTATGCAGTACTCAAGTGTAGGACGAACGAACACTGTATACAAAGTCAAAAACGTTTTGGCATCGACATGACTAAAAGCTCTACGTATTGACCATAAGGTTCTAAAACCTTTGGCGGCTATTGAACGGCAGTGTGCAGTAGTCTTTAAGTCTTGACTAACGATAACTCCTAAGTCATTATATGTCTGGACGACAGGTAGCTCAGTGTTATTCATCGTGTATGTATCTGTCCCTTGATGACCGATATGCATCATAACACACTTGGAAGTATTTATCGGCGACTGCCAGGTTTGAGACCATTCAGATAACTTCTTCAGGTCATTTTGAAGTTCTAAGCTATCACTCTTACATCGTATCGTTTTCCATATCTTGACATCGTCAGCATATAGCAGGACCGATGATGATAGGAGACAAGGAAGGTCATTTACATACAAGAGGAATAGCACTGGCTCCAAAACTGTACCCTGGGGCACTCCACTAAGCACAGTTTCTCAGCTAGATAACTTTGAGTTCACCCTTACTCTTTGTTGACGCCCAGCTAAGAAGTCTTTTATCCAATCCCGACTTTTCTTAACTTATATAACAGCCGGTTGTGTTGAACTTTGTCAAAAGCTTTACTGAAATCAATGAAGGCGATGTCTACAGGTAGCTTTTGGTCCTTAAGAGCGCACCAGCTTTTACGAGCCACTAATAAGTTAGTGAGACAAGAATAACCTATTCTGAAGCCGTGCTGCTTCTCCGAGAGGATCCGGTTTTTATCGAGATACTTAAACAGCTCCTTCCGAATAATCTTTTCTAAGATTTTAACAACCCCACTAGTGAGGCTAACGGGGCGGTAGTTTTCAGGTTTGTGTTTCGTACCTGTTTTGAAGACAGGACTTACTATGGCGTTTTTCCAGTCTTTCGGTAAACGACCCTGCGTAACGGATAGGTTAAGGCATATACTTAAAGGGTTCGCAACGAAGTTAGATAATTCCTTCAGTAGCCTAGGATGTAATTCGTCGGGCTTCGTGGATTTACCTATGTCAAGCTTATTCAGCAGACCAAAGACATCGAGTTCTTTAATGGTCACGCTATCCAGTGTATATGTGGGGGAATCTGTATGCACTGACGGGAAGGGTGCTTTTATGTTATATACATTGCTAAAGTAGTTCGAGAACACTTGAGCATTACCAAAGTCGTCCTCCACTAATGATGAAGCAGTACTGTCTCCCCATAGAGCAGGAATATTTCCTTTTCTCCTAGTCCTTTGGCTTATATAGGAATACAAGCGTTTAGGACATTCTATGGATTCCTTAACAAGTTTTCCTTCTTACAATTTTCTAGACTTACGGAGGGTCGAGGCACAAGTATTCCGAGCCTTTTGATACTGAGATTTTGACTCATTAGTCCCCAGTAACCTAAATCTATCCCACATTTTCCTTTTCTTACGGAGAAGGATACGGAACTCCCTACTGAACCATGGTGGTGAGTTTTTCGGCCCCTTTGGTATAGTCCAAGGGATGTGAGGTGTGGTAACTTTTAAGTATAAATTTCGAAATGCGTCCCAGGCCGTTTCAATGGGGGACTCTGGGTCTATTGTCCAATCTATTAACGATGCTGAGTGCATGATGTCTGGTATGTTTGCTTTCCAGACGTTGGGTCTGGACTGGACTGACGCGTGCTCGTGACTGGCAGTTATATGGAAGTCGAAAGTTAAAACTGCGTGATCACTTTTACCTAGGGGTGGCATATGATGGAGGTTCGCAACATCATCCTCATAGTGAGTCAGTATAAGATCTAATAAGGATGATTCAGTATCCGGATCGTACCTTGTCGCTTCTTTCACATGTTGCACTAGGGCACATATAATAACCCCATCAACCAGTTCCTGCTCGAAAGAATTCTCCGACGATTTAGTTCGCAGATTTTCCCAGTCTACCATAGGTGCATTGAAGTCCCCTAGGATTAGACATCGACCACTTTGGGACCAAGTATTGAGACTGCTTAACAGGATCTCGTTTGCCTCACAGCTTGGACTGCGATAGACCGAACCAATCAGCAGCTCTTGTCCCTTGCATTTCAAGTGCCAACTAACTCATTCACACGTCCCACTCTCATGGGATACATTATCGATAATAGCAAATGGGATAGCATTCCTAATGAATAGAGCTACTCCCCCTCCTTTGCGCTTTTGTGTTCTGTCGGCCCTCACTAACGCAAAACCCTCGAAATCAAGTTCCATACTATCTATGGCCTGTGTCAGTCAGGTTTCTGTTACTGCAATTATGTCTGGCTTTGTAGAGTCAACCTGTACACCTAGTTCCGATCGCTTATTAAGTAAGCTTCATGCATTGGTGTAACAGATCCGAAGCCTGTTTAAGTGCCTTCGTGCTTCACCCAGAGTGGCTTCGGCATCATTCTCTGTCAAAGTTTTACAACCCGAAAATTTACAATTTTCAGGTCGTTTTCGCCAGCGTCTAACCTAAGTTGTAGTTCTTTCTCGGCTTCCCGTCTTTTAACACGGTCTGCCAACGGTAGGTCCTTTCGGATAAAGACTCCTGAACCCTTTAATTTGTGTCCATTCTGTAAAATTAGGTCATGTTCGTTCGAAGAGCTGAATACTACTTTAAGCAGTCTGGAATGATTTAGTTTTGAGTCCGCTAGACTCCCTAGTCTGTACACCTTTAGCAAGGTGACCCCGGTCAAATTTTGAGGCATGAGTTGATTAAGTAGCTATTTAATCAGCACAATGTCATGCTCAATGCAAGCTTTTGGTTCAGAACTCCCACTCTCCTTGATCCTAACGCAGCCCTTTTTACTGAACCTTTTGAAAGCCGCAGGCGTTAAATTTGTGCAAACTTCGTGGTACCATCCTTTGCACTCATCGCACCGCATGCCGCTTTCAACGGAATAACGACAACCCGTACACGTTGGCAACTGCTTTTTTGCACTGTCCGGTCATTAGAAAGGGGTCCTTTCCAAAAAAGAGCGAGATACAACAATGCTCAAAGACAAAAAAATGATCTATGACCAAAAAGTGGAGAACCGTAGATTGTTAGGACCAAAAGTACTAAGAGTACCGACGATAAACTAATTGAGAAACAGTAAACGATGCTCTAGTCGAATACATTAACTGAAATTCAATTCACGTGAAAACAGTAGTCTTGATACGTAATAAACGATCAAAACAATAAAATTTACACAGCGAGGAAAAATACAACTGTCCATTTTAATTAGCGCTCCTCATTTCATATCAGATTACCTTCCACATATCTTCAAACCCAAAAAAAGTCTATGGACTAATAACTACGAAATATGGGGATAGGTAGTAAAAAAGGTAGTGAACTTGCACTCCAGGTCTACTGACAATAGTCATGATTAAAGATCATCAATGACGATGAGTGCATCACTCTGCACATTGAACATGAAAGTTTCAGTGATTACTAAATTATAGAAAGTACCCTGCTTATAGTTCGAATTTGAAACTGGTAGATTGCAGAAAGTGATGACCAGAAGATCATAACTTACCGCCCTCTGTTGTACCTAAAGTGTGGAGCGGTTAAAACGTAAAATCCTCTCCGAGTCTCCCGCCGTTTCGTTTCAACGACCTTGAACGGGTAGTATGCGGCTGTCATTTCATATTTGAATCTCAGTCAGTTTGCTGAGTGTCAGTTGGATTTTACGGATTTTTGGTGTTCTCACACCAAGTAGTCTATCACTACTATAGAACTACAAAATCATTCCGTAGAACGTTAACTGATCTTCCTCGCCTTTATGGCTTAAACGTTACCCCGACATCGTGCGCGCTATTCAACGTCATAACACCAACAACGTTTGACGTAGAAGTAAGCAAAAGTCATAATTGAATTCATGTATTCAATGGACTTTTCATGTTATTAAATGAATTTCATCGAAACAACAGATCATGATATGAATTTTGTCGACTGTAATTTTTCACCATGTCAGACTGCGTTACCCCTGGCAGGTGCAATACATGCTGAAATGATATACTAAGTTGTAGAAAGCTTAGTTATAGTCGTTTTCCTTTAAGTATAGACCATCACTTAATAATGGAGAAACGTTTCGGGGCTAAGTTAAGTCCTGGTAGTTTTGTTGTAGACCATGCTTTGACGCTTAAAAGACTGTAGTTCTCTGTCTGAGAACATTATCGTTTGTTGTCTTATATTTTGTCTATTAGCCAGTTTGAATCGAACGCTTTCCAGCACATTGGTAGCCACCTCCCACAACATATCCATGCTATTTTTAGCCTCTTAAGTTTAGTACACCCGGTTTTCACATAATTCAGTTAAGTCCAAACGATAGTGCCTAGAAGTTATGAAAAATATCAATGTAGCAATTAGAGTTGTCTATTTTTCATGTGCTAACAACACTGATCTTAGATGCAAACTAATTTCACTGTCGTCTGATAATCATGAGAAAATACTTTGAGAAAAACGGATAAGCATTTCATCACACAAAACACGTAAACATTCCAAAGGAAGTGCACTGATTCGAGTATTAGTTGTAATTGCTATGGCAATATTGTGACAATTATCGAACCACGCTGGGAAGTACAAAGAAGCACTTCACACAAATAAAGTGGCGGAACTCATAAACGTGGTTGACATAAATCATTGATGTCTTTGCCGTTTCATAGATACAATTAACACCAGAGAAGTATTAAAGTGAAGCAAAGTTGTTTTTTTACTTTGTGGGGTTGACAGAGCAAACCGTAGGGGTGGCGGCGCTATCCTGTGCATGAAAAGCATCTTAGCCATACGACATGTCGAGATAATGGCATACGACTCAAGAAAATGTGAAATGGATCTCTCTCGGTAGTGTGGTGTTCCAGCCAGAACGGACTTTTTCATGCATAATGGTAACGCAACAAAAGTTAAGATGTTTATGAATTTCAATTGCCCTGGATCTGTATAGTTTGCATGTATACTAGGTAACACACGAACACTTTTAGTGGTGTTGGTCCCAACTACAGTCATCGAAGCCGAACATAAGATAACCGAGAAAATAGACTTTCAACATGTAACACTAAGAGAAGGCCAATAATAGTGAACGCGGGAATATTGATTCGAAGTTCATTTACATCATGGCTATCTCCCCAATATTTCCTGATACACACACAGACATAAAAACTATCTCAGGAGAGGTCTTTAGTCGCCCCACCTTAGTATTTGCTACCACCTCTTTTTACTATGTGTTCGACCTGATAGATCAACCGCTGATTTTATTAGACATAGAGCAAACATTTTTGCAGCTCATCGTTTCCTCTGTACGTCAGCATGTGCGTACCCTTTGCATGTACCTATATACTTGAACTACATATGTCAGAGAAATCCTGTGGTGGCATTGGGCCTTAATACGAGACAATGTGTGAAATAGACATTCAACATTTAGCACAGAGAAAAACTCAACGATGAAGAGGGGAAGAAGAATGAATTGAATTAATTGGAGTTGATCGTATGACATGGCCCGGCCATGCAGGCGTGGTCCCTGCTGAATGCTACCTTATATCTTCTATTCATATTAATTATATTGTTCTATCTCTAGACTAAGTTCTTTCTCTACCATGTATTGGTAATTGTTACAATGTAGTGAGTTGGTGTAGACGATGATGTGACTTCCACGTAAGATCTTATAGAATAGGCAAATGTATCATGACAACTCTACACTTATAGGATTAGGTCTATTGTTAGAGCAGTACTATTATCATAGTAGACCATAATTCTTCACTCCTGTAGTTCTCATACGTAAGCATGCACATCTAGTAGCCCGAGCTATAGGGTAAGTTTCAAGTAAAAAAACCAAGGGTGATCAGATGCGACACAGTGGGTGGTTGGTTCGATCTCTCCGGCTGCCTAAGTTTGGTAGTGCGGCTGCTCCCACTATCCCTCAGAAACACGGGGAATCGTTGGGTCGGATTCTGCTGCCAGTTACAACGAACCTCCTCCCAGAATGAGTGAGGTGCACAAAGTCTCCAGATAATGGAAAATCAGTGGATGTTGTTAACGTAGACCAACAAAGTACTTGATAAGGTGTCAAATAATAAACTCCAAGTCACTACCTAATGAATCACCCCAAGGCTCCGTCCTGGGTCTTTTATATTTTATACTGTAAATTAACTCCCAGAAACTGTTGATGATGCATAAGTCTGGTGAGAAACGATTGAGGATATAGATGCATGTGCACTTCAGGAGGACCCAGATGTTCTGGTTAGCTGGTCTAAAACATTAGCTGATGCATACCAACGAGGCTAAGCGAGTCTGCATGCTCAGTGGGGATCCAAGGATAACAAGGAACAACAAAGGGGAAGAGTTGGTGACCGTCGTTTTCAGGCTAACATGTATATTGGGGTGAGAACTAGCCATTATCTTAAGACCATGACTCACTGTGGTCGTAGCCAAAGGATTCAGGGCCCTCCAGGCTTTAAGGTGGACATTTACGAAGTTGGATACCAAAATGTTCACTATAGTGTGCACAAACTTAATGAGATTCAGACTTCAGAACTGAATTTAGTCTACAAACCCCTGTTTAAATAGTGACTCGCATATCTTGGAAAGAGTACAGGAGTAGCTGTTCTTACAATTTCAGAATTTTAGCGTTTACCATGCAAAGAGCGGCTTCAGAATCTCAACTTCCTAACTCTGTCCAACTGCAGATTAAGAGGTGATTTTATTTCGATGTACAGAATACTTATAATTGATTTAGACTAGATATACCCTCACTTTTTATTCCTATCAAGTCACGACGACTCGGAGAAAATAAGAGGCGAGTACAAACGCCGTGAACGATCAGAATACCTACGACGTACAGGCTTACACAGCGAGTCATTGATTCTTGGAACTTGTTACCTAGAGAAAAGCTATGTGCTCCTTTAATTGACTCATTCGTGAGAAGACTAGACATTCTTAGAAGCTTACTATAAAAGAACCTCACCGGAATTCTATGTGAAAGCCGACGATAACTACCTTAGGATCACTAATGAATCCAGCCTCTTTGATGTTCATTTTTGCATAGTCTATGCTGAGCGGATAACAGAGGACATACTTTCAACACTTCTAAGTTTTAAGTAACCCATTTAAGACATGTTACAGACTACGCGTACGAATGAAGGAAGTTGGACAGCAACACTTCTGACTCGATCTTTAACAACTTTATTTGATCCCATGTGGAGTACTTTACAGCTCTCTCTCCGGAAGTAAAATACACGGAAACGTATTCAAAGACAGGCAATAAAATCAGTTTGAAGACGTAAGTTCAAAGCTCATGCAAGGCTTCAAGATGGCTCAGCTATTCGGAAGCTGACAAAGCGTTTACACGGAACACGATTATACTCAAAGGATATCAGCCCAATCAAATCAGAAGTCAGAAACGAAGAGTCTCGAAAATATGTTTCAAAAGTCATCGATGTGCTGAGGAGCTAGTAGTTGCAAGGGATATGTAGCACGACGTGCATACTCAATATTGATGCAGTCTTATGTGTACTACTTTGTTTTGAAGACTCATTTGTCGGATCACTTCTTTATGATGGCTGAGAACAATTAAAATCTTATTAACCTTAACGAGCCTCCCCACCTTTATTCAAGAGAATTACTACAGTTCTTCATGAAAGGCTAATAAGAAATATTTCTATATTCAAGGCCTTCTAAAGCTGTTCCAGAGTGTACATGCCTAAATATCAACATACCAAAGGTAATTATAGTGTAGATCACCAACGTAGATGATCCATGTCGAAATGATTGGAGGCCTACCCGAGTTGAACGGTAACGGTGTGACGAACCAACTAACATCGAAGTCACACCTCGTGGTCAGCACCTTACGTGGACTACCCTCATTGACGTATCAAGGTACTATAGGTGCTTTGAAGGCTGTACAACAGAAATATATTAGTCGAAGTAGATACAAGCGAAAGTAAGACCACTGCCGCATGGGCCAGTCCATGGCATACGATTAACCACTGCGCGTTGGTTGTACATGACCTTAGCAGGGAGCGATGATCTGTTCGACATTCAGTGATCCAACTGCCGGATGATTTGGCTAGGGCTCAGTGACATTTCACTGGCCTTACAATAGCGTTTATAGAGTTATTGCCGCCCGTGTTTAGATTTTAAAGTTAGTAAAATACTCAGGCGACCCAATTATGTAATAGCAAGGCAATATTTAAGGAGGAGAAATGTGTAAAGATTATAGTTTTGATATTTGATTTGAACTCAAATGATCGGAAAATGTTACAATTTTAGACTCTTGCATACTCTTTGGTTTGCTACCTATCCTCACCATCTCTAAACCAAATATAATCTGATCTGTGGTTTTTGACTTTAACCATTAGTCATAGTCATAACAATATGATATACTAAATAGATATCTAACCCACAATACAGATGCTTTAACCATCTGATTTACCTCTAACATGGAACTAGTAGAGTTAGTGTATTCGAAAAAGGAGTTTAGATCAAAGCAATATTCATACGCACCGCAAACATCGGAGAGTCTAATATCACAAAAGGAGAGAGGGTGGCCTTACTTACCAGCAAACATGATGGTAGGGAGATAACTTCAATTCACTCATGTATGTAAGGCAG